CAATAGCTTATATTAAGCGAATGAGATAACTTTGCTCGTAGAAAGAAAGTGAAGCGTTGAAGCACTTACCAAACAAGATCAAAGACTTCAATATCAATTGCATCTCAACATCAAGAAAATAGAAACCTCACCTCTGAACTAATAGACAACATCACAATCGATGAAGAAAAGATGGAATATGTCAAAGATTTCATTTTACTTCGATCCACAATCAACACTCATGGTGACTGCAGTCAAGAAATTAAAGGATATATTTCATTGGGAAAATCTTTTAAAGACATTCCTAAAGTGCTAAAGAGTAATGATTTCAGTTTAAAAATCCAGGTACTCATGATCCAAGCCATGGGTATTTTCAGTTGTTTACTATGTATCTGAAAGTTGGACAACGAGTAAGGATCACAGGAAAAGAATCAGTGCCTGAATTGTGATGAAGGGGGAGTACGAAAGATCTCAGGGACTGCTAAAAGAACAAAAAGGTCTGTTTCAGAGGAAGTACAAGCAGAGGGTTGGTTTCTGTTGTGGGTTTTGTTGTGTTTTTTTTTTTTTTAAGAAGCAAGGATGGTGAAATATCATCTCACATACTGTGGATATGTTGTCAGAAGGGACCAGTCCTTGGAAAAAGACATCATTCTGGAAAAGGCAGAAAGTCTAAGAAAGAGAGGAAGACCTTCAACAAAACAAAGTGATACAGTGACTGTAATAGTGAGTATATCAGAGATAGTGAGGATGGGTTTTTCATAGAATTGCAATGCCAACCTGATGACATGTAACAAAAACAATAAGCTTAAGTATTTTTTCCATGTGTTTCTTGGCCACCTGAATGTTGTCTTTGGTGAATACAATATCTTCCCTTCTGGTTTTTAAATTTAGTTATTTTGTTGTTGTTGCTGTTTTTTATTGATGTTTTCTATGTAGCATTGCCAACTTTTTCCCTTTAGACTGTATGACCTTATTTCATTCTTTTGATGAAGTGTTTGTTGTTTGTTTGTTGGTTTGTTTGTTTTTATGAAGTTTTTTGATACCATTAAGTATTTCTTTTTTCAGAAGATCTCAGTCATCTATTTGTTTCTGTTGTCTGTGTTTTTTCACTTACATTTACTGGTGTATTTCTGGCATATTTTGGGGCCCTAAGTTTGTATCTGTTTTTCCTTTGATGATCTAAATAGTTTTAAGTTTCACATTTAGATCTTCATCTTAAAGTTAAATTGTTTGCTGTGTATAGTGAGAGACATAGATCATATTTCCATTTTTTTTATCAATATATATCAAGTTTTGCCAACAGTTTTATTTTACTTTTCAAAGAGAAGAATGAACTGGAGGGGAGGCATAGGCAGAGAGAAAAGTGCAATGATGAATGAATGTTGTTGCTGTTAAGTGTCATCGAGTTGCAGGCAACTCATAGCGACCCTATGAACAAAAGTCCTGCACACCTCCTGTATAACTTTCGTCCTTTCCCGTTTGTAGGGTTTCCAGAGGCAAGCTATTCTGGAAGTGGATGCCACTCCTGATTCCAAGCTTGTTTTAATCAGGGAGCTTCACCAAACACTGTCCACCATGGGTAACCATTCTTGCATTTGACTCATAAGTGTTACAGTGTTCAGCTTCACAGCAACCATGAGTTTCCTCTAAAAGAGGTAAACGTTTGCTCTGTAAAGTGCAACAATGAATGAATGGAAATCCAAAATCTCTGTAAATTTTCATTAAAGTTAATAATAAATTAAAAAAAAAGACCATCTCTTCCTGACTAGTGGGTTTTGGCCCTTGGTCAAAGCACAGCTGCTCATAGATGGGTGAATTTATTTCTGGCTGCTCAGTTCTATTTCATTGGTCTGTGTCTGTCATTGTACCAATAAGAGGCTGATTAACTACCATGACTGTTTTGAGATTGGAAAGTGTGAGGCCTCCTAATACATTTCGCAGTATGTTTTGCTTATCTCTTTTCTTTCTATAGAATTTGATTATTATATTTTCTTTCTTCTTAAAGAATGATAATGGAATCTGGATTAAAATTGCATTATTAAAATGTTTCCTTTTAATTTGTTGTTGTTGTTGTGTACCATTGAGTCAGAACCAATCCATAGCTGACCCTCCAGCAGGTTTTCAGAGGCAGTTAATTGCACAAGAGAAGATTGCCCAGCATAATTTTTAAAACTACCTATGAAGGTATAGGGAGCTCTGGTGGCATAGTCTGTAGGTAATTGTACTGCTAACTTAAAGATCATATTTTCTGGTGGTTTGAATCTGCCAGCACTAGAGGGAGAAAGACGGAAAGTCTCCTCCTAAATGATTTATAACCTCAGAAACTCACTAGAGGGTCAACTATGAGTCATATCCTATTCCATGGGTGAGAATGAGAGATAATTGAAGATATAGTGAGGCAACCAATGCTGCCAGTTGGTGTCATCTTTTTGATAAGTATTCTATCAATAACTATTAAGTAGCTAAAAATTCTAGACCCAGTTTGCTATACTTCATAGATCTACACCAAGAAAATGAGAAAATATTTTTTCAAAACAGTATTTTGTTTTATTTATGTATTTAAGACATAATTATTTATGATAACTATACTAGAAATGTAATTAATGTTCAACATAAGGAAACTTCACTGGTTACATAATTTATTATTATGTAAATAGAGAACATTCAGTGAGCTTGGAAAACCTTATGCAAAAACACACAACATAGAACTGTTTACCTAGTATGACCACCCATGGATATAAAACTTTTAAAAAGACACATCTCCAAATAGGATTTCTCTGAGTTATGGAACAGAAATTTCTTTTCTATGAATTTTTAAAGTGAAAAATCAAATATAAGAATACTTCTCAAAATTTTTAAAATTATTAATTTTAGTAATAACATAAAATAATTAATTATATCCTCATATCCTGTTTCCTGAATTATAGTAAAACCGTTTATTTATGTTAACCACTTTTATCAAGTCCATAGCTCAGATTTTTTTAACATTTTCAATTTTTCTTTTTAAAATTAGAAATCAAAATTGCAAAGGCAGATTTACAGAACAACAACAGAACAACAAGAGAAAATTTTTGGAAAGTTTATAGGAACACATATTTGTCCAGAAATCTAGTTAAATTGTGGTTGCTCAAATCACAACAAGCTGTGGCTGACTCTGAGAAGAATGGGAATCCCAGGACATTTGATTGTGCTAATGCGAAACTTATACTTGGACCAAAAGGCAGTTTTCAGAACAGAGCAAGGAGGCACTACATGGTTCAAAATCAAAAAGGGGGTTCGTCAGGGGTGTATTCTGTCTCCATACCTTTTCAATCTGTATGCAGAAGAGATCATCCAAGATGCTGGGCTATATGAAGAGGAATGTGGTGTCAGGATTGGTGGAAGAATCATCAACAACCTGCGTTGTGCAGACGACACAACCCTGCTTGCTGAAACTGAGGAGGACCTGAGGTGCTTGCTGCAGAAGATCAAGGACTACAGCCTCCTATATGGACTGAAGCTAAACGTCAAGAAAAAAAAGATTCTAACCACTGGGCCAATTGGCAGCATCAGCATGGATGGTGAAGAGATTGAGATAGTTAACAGTTTTAGTTTACTTGGCTCCACAGTCAACACTCTTGGTAACAGCAGCCAGGAAATCAGGAGACTAATTGCATTGGGAAAGTCAGCTGTGAGGGACCTCTCAAGAGTACTGAAGAGCAACAATGTCAGGCTGGAGACTAAGGTGCGCCTGATCCAGGCTATAGTCTTCACAATTATGTGCTATGCATCAGAGAGTTAGACAGTGAATAGGGTTGATAGAAAGAGGATTGATGCCTTTGAGCTGTGGTGCTGGAGAAGAGTGTTGACTATACCATGGACTGATAGAACAGGCAGGTTTGTCCTGGAGAGGGTGAAGCCAGAGTGTTCCCTGGAGTCAAGGATTCTGAAGCTTCGTCTGACATATTTTGGGCATGTTGCAAGGAGGGTCTGGTCCTTGGAGAGGGACATCATGTTTGGCAGAGTGGAGGGGTGGCGAAGGAGAGGAAGACCTTTGGTGAGATGGATCGATTCTGTGACTGAAGCGGTAGGAATAAGTGCATTTGAGATGGCTAGGTTGGCACAGGATAGAACAGCATTTAGAGCTCTTGGGTCTCTATGAGTCACAAGCGACTCGATGACACATAACAACAACAACAACAACAACAACAAAAAGTTAAATTCATTTCTGCATTTTCTGAATAAGTTGCTCCTTATATTTGCCCTTCTCTTTCCCAGCTTGCTGAGATTTGGCTTTATGTTCAAGAATTTTCCCTCCTCATCTTTATGCTCTTCCAGCCTGGTATGAACCACATTGTTTGGGTATATATCCACGTGCACAGTTGTACCATTAGCCTTCTCACACTGCACTCTTTTGATGTAGATGACATACTTCTTTCTGTACACCTGGACTACCTTGCCAATTTGTTCACCTTTGTACTCCCTGGACCTCATCATCCTTGCAGATGGGAATGGAGTGGACGTTATGCTTCTGCTGAAGCTCCTTGGAGAGCTGAGAGGTCATGATCTTCTTGTGCATGTGCAAAGGGACATTAAAGTGGCATTTGTGTTTCTTGCTGCTGTCTGAGTTCATGAAAAGGTTGAACTCCACGGTGACTGTCAGACATCTGGCAATGTGAGACTCTACATGCACAAGCATAACTCACATTTTTGTAATCAATGCATCCATGTAAACTATAACTCCAGAAATGAAATGCTTAGGAAAAGAACTCTTGAGGTGTTGTGACAATTGGAAAATGAAGTGTGTCTTAGTGGTAAGGGGTTGCACCACCAGCTCTCAGGTACACAGTTCTAGTTCACCAGCTGCTCTGTGGGAGAAAAATAGGCAGTCTCCTCCCAAGTGATTTATTGCCTCTGAAAGAGTTGGTCTGAAAACCAATAATTTTCATAAAAGAATACACATAATTCTCTGTTTTTCTGCTTTTCTCACTGAAATCAATATCTTATTATCATTTGCTCTAATACAGCTTTTGTCTTCACAGGTTGGAGGGGCTGTGAGCCTCCTTCTTTACAACTGCTCTAGTCAACAGCCATTCAGTAGACGCTGGCTACAGACACCAGTGGTCATTGAATTTGGGGAAGAAGATAGCCTAGTAAGATTAGCACCCTTTCTCCCTCCCACTACTCTACCCCCCTCCTCACTAGCCATCTCTGCATTATTGAGACTGCATTGGGTGATTGTCAACACATCACATTTCCAAAAATTAATATTGCTTAATGTGTTTCTCTTTGATGACAGGTTAACAGGGGAAATCAATCAACATTTACTTTGGCTCGAGATGAAGTGAATTTTCATAAATTAACTGGACTTTCTGAAAACCCCCAGGGATCTCTACAGATAAGAATAAAATTTTCTAAGGCTGTCTCAAGACCCTTTCCGATAATGTTACTAATTAGGTATGTTGTGGCATGATTTTTATTGCTAGGTGTCATCAAGTTGATTACAACTCATAATGAACTATGAACAATAATTTTGAACCTTGTTCTATCCTGAACAATTTTCATAATCTTCACAATGCCCAAGTCCATTTTTACTGTTACTATATTAATTTATCTTGTTGAGCGTCTTCTCCTTTTTCACTGACCCTCTACATTTACAAGTATGATGTCTTGTTCCATGGACTACCACCTCATGACAACATGCCTAAAGTACGTGAGATAAAGTTTTACCACCCTTGCCTTGAAGGAACACCCTGGTTGCTTGTTATTTTGGCAGTCCATGTTATAGTCAATATTTTTCACCAGCTCCACTATCAACGGCATCAATTCTTCCATTTTTCTTCTTCTAATTTTCAGATCCATAGGAACCATGCATGGTTTGGTTCAAGTGCACCTTAGTCTTTTAAGCTAATATCGTTCTTGCTCTTTAATGCTTTAGAGAAGTCCTTAATATTTTCCTGATGCAACACATCTTTTGATTTCTTGACTGCTGTTATCATAAATGTGGATTGTAGATCCAAGTAAAATAAATCTGTAACAACTTCAGTATATTCCTCATTAATTATGATGTTGTCAATTATTTCAGTGGTAAAGATTTTTCTTTTCTTGATATTGAGATATAATCTATATTGAAGGCTATAGTCTTTTCTTTTTCAGTAAGTGCTTCAACTATCCTTCACTTTCTACATGTAAGGTTGTTTTATTTGTGTAACAAGTCATTGATGAATCTTTCTTGAGTTCTTCTTCATATACTCCAGCTTCTTGAATTATTTGCTAAACATACAGATTTAATAGGCGTTGGGGAAGAATGTTGTTGTTGTTAAGTGCTATTGAGTCATAGACAACTCATATTGACCCTATGAAAGAAAGACCTGAACACTTGTACAACTTTCATTGTTTGTTCAAGTTCATACATTTTTTGGAGGCAACCTATTTCAGAAGTGGATGTCACTCCTGCTTGCAAGCTTGTTTTAATTGGGGAGCTTCAGCAAACACTGTGTACCATGGGTAACATTTATTACATTAGACACATCAGTGTCACAGTGTTTAGCATCACAGCAACCACGAGTTACCTCTGTACAGCAAATGGACAGACTACTGCTATACTACTTAGAAGAATGTTTGACCAAAAATAATTAAAACCAAGCCTGAGGGCCACATATTTAAAACATCCACCTTTGGTTTGGGAAAACAACCTAATATTAAGATTGTATTCCTACTATTAAATATATTGGAGTTGAACCATGTGCCTTTGAGAGTGCAACACAATGTCTTACCACTATTGGAGTGAGAAACATTGTTAGTAATAATAAATATGGTTTTCATTTAAAAATCTAGTTCTGTCTCAAGGTGCTTCCTGGTGCTACTGTTAAAAAGATATGTTTGAAAGATATGACACTTGGCCTCTATAAAAATTATACCCTTGGAAGCTCAATGGAAGCTTCAAAACTCCGTCTTACACAGTCACTATGAATCAGAATTTACCTAATGGCAATGAGTTTGAGATTTTATTTATTTATTTATTTTCATTAATTCTTTCACAGGGTGCTCTGGTGTCCTAGGAGTAAGACATTGTGCTGCAATCTCAAAGGTACATGTTTGAAATCCACCAGCATCTCTGTGGGAGAAAGATGAGCAGTCTTCTACTGTGCAATATATAACCTCTAAAAACCCTTTGGAGGGTCAACTATGACTTGGTTTTGACTCAGTGGCATGCAAAAACAAGAAGAGTTCTCAGAATAGGAACTTTCTCAAAATTTTTCTGTTTTCCCCTCTAAAAGGAGGAAATGTATTTAAACAGATGTATCTGATGAGACTATATAAAGTAATCATCTCTCTCAGTGATGTTCAGATCATGAGATTGTGTGGGCCTCATTTTATAACAAAATTACATGTTGTTGCTGTTGGATACCATTGAGTTCACTCTGATTCCTATTGACTCTATGTACAATGGAATAAAACCTTACCTAATCCTAAACCATGCTAACATTCTCTGTTGTTCTTAAGCTCATTGTTACAGCTAATTAGTCTATCTTGTTGAAGGTTTTCTTGTCTTTTTCTGACTTTCTAAATTACATGTTGTTGTTGTTGTTGTTTTGTACCATTGAGTTGGAACTGACCCATAGCTGACCTTATAGCAGGTTTTCAGAGGCATAAAATCACACAGCAGGAGGCTGACCATCTTTCTCCTATAAAACAGCTGGTGGATTTAAACCATGTGTCTTCAGATTGGCCGTGCAGCTCCTTACCACTAGACCACCAGAGTTTCCTCTAAATTACATAGGGAAGTTAAAAAGCAATATTGAAAAGTTTTTTGCTGTACGTGTTAGAAGTGCTAAGGAACTACCAATTTTTAAAAACATGGTAGGTCTGAATAGACAAAGAAGTTATAAGCAGGCAAATCATTCTTCTCTTTGTTCCAATGTATTTTGGACATCTGATAAACTGAAGTTGATCTAAAACTTTAAAATCTTTAAACTAGTTGACAGCAAAGGCCATATCTTATGGAATGGTGATATCTAGAGAGTGCTTAATCAATCCTTGTTGACATGACTTTCTCCAACAAATGATCTAAGTCATATAATATATATCTATTACTTTTGCTAATTATCTTTCTAATTTTACAATAATGGTCTTACACATTATTTGTCCTTATGAGATTGAGTTAGTTCACTCAGCACAATGCTCTTCAGTCTTTCCTGAGTTATGTAGTAAAGGAGTGGAAGCAGAGAGGGGAAATCATGAGGTTGCACAAGTTGGTAGATGGAGGAATGAGGTAAAGAAAATGAGACAGATCCAGCAAGGATCTGAAAATACGGGATAATGGTGGGCATAGTTCAATGCTGTTTAATTTTATGAAACATGATGTATGGAAATGATTATATGAAACACAATGTGAGGAGTGAAACACAATATATACAGATTTTGTATGTAAAGAAATGTTATAGTTGTGATGTGCCATCCAGTTGAGTATGACTCATAGCGGCATTATAAACAAAAGATCTGAACCCTGTTTGATAACTACCATCATTTCTCTAGTGTTCATAAGGTTTCCAAAGATCTGTTATTAAAGAAGTGAATTCCAATCCTCCTTCCAAGTCTGTGTTAATCTGGTGGCTCTACCGAATTCTGTCTCTCATAGGTTACCATTATGGCATTTGACACACCAATAACCCAAATTATTTCAGTACACCAAACAGACAGACAAGTACTGTAGAACAATGTTTTTCCCAAACAACCTACTCAGCTTTTTGAGTTTCTATTTTATATCATGGGCTGTTGAAGTAATAAAATGAGTAGCTAGAACAGTGGCTCTTGCTGGGGATGTAGGTAGGCTTTTTAATGTCTGCAAGAGTAAGTTGGCAGAGGAAAGGAAGGTTGCTAACAATCTCAAGACAGAATGACTCGTACTAGTGTCCACAAGAAAGTAAATACTTTCTACCTGAAAAGTCTATTTTACTGAGACACGTTTGTGTGTAACTTCTAGCTGCTATTTTTGAAGTTCAGTTTTTCAATTGATAATTTTAAAACACACAGACTGTATGAGCTTTAATTTAGTGCTATATTAAACTTAAAAAGGAAGAGATAAATTTGAAAAAAATTCAGTTCTGAACTCTGGTTAAAAAATTCAAAGTGGGTAGAAAATGCTCTAAGGAAAAAAGGAAATAAAATTCTTAAACTTGTTTCAATAAAAGTAAAAAAAAAAAAGATTTTTTTTTTTACCGAGAGAAAGCATTAACTTATCAATACAGAGTGTTGGAAAAAAACAGAAGAAATTATAATATTTAAGACTTTTTTACTTTACTGTGCTTTAGAGTTTATCTTGAAGAGAAAAAAATAGATCTTAGCAAGAAAGAGAAATAAGGGTGTTGTTGGATAAATTTTATGTTTCATAGGAATTGGTTGACTGAGTTTTGATAGAGGGTATTGTGCTGGGATAGGCTAGAGGGCAGGTTGGGAGAGAGGGGCAGAGGAGTTTGACCCCTTTGTCTGTGAGGTTTGGTCTGGAAGCTGGAAGAGGATGGTATGTGGGATTATTTACTGGGTTGGTGTTGTTGATTATCATCAAGTTGAGCTCTACTCATAGTGACTCTATGAACAAAAGACCTAATGCCTTACCATACCTATCATTGTTTCTCCAAGTCTATAGAATTTCCAGAGGCATGTGGTTTAGGAATTGGATGCCATTCCTGCTTCCCAACTAGTTTTACACCTGGGAGCTCCACCAAACACTGTCCACCATGGGAAAGAAACCATTATGGTACTTGATATCCCCATGGTACAAGGTTCAGCATCATAACAAACCCAGGTACCTCATATAGCACATTGACAAAGAGTATTGTGCACAGTGGAAGAATGTTCCACCAGATAAAACAGCACTAGTCTCATTCAGCAGTGGTTAAGTGTTGTCGAGTCAAGTATGACTCAGAGTAAGCTTTGCAACAAAAGACCTGAACTCTGTTCTATGATTAACACCATTTCTCTACACTTATAAGAGAGTTTGTGGAGTTTCCAGAGGCAACTAGTTTAGAAAGCGGATGCCACCTCTGCTTCCCAACATTGATCAATCTGGAAGCTCATCCAACCACTGTACTTAATAGGTAACCATTATGGGATTTGACATGACTGTGAGATAGTGTTCAGTGTCACAACAACTCCAAGTTGTTCAGTACAGCAGGTAGACATATGATTGTTGTGTCTTTTAAATAATATTCTTCTAAAATGAAAATGTACTGCGTGGGGTCCAAAAAAGAAAAGAGATGTTTTATCTGCAGGTAAGGATTTGAAAAGGAAGGTGATGTCTTAGTTTTAGAAGATTTGTTTAAGATTTCTTTTTAACTGGGAGGTTAGCTAAAAATTTTGGAAGCAGTTTCAGGCTGTGTCTGAGAGAGGCCAGAGGAAAACATATTGCCCATGTGACATTTTTTCCTTAATAATTTTAATGAATATTTACAGAG